AGGACATATTTCTGGGTCAGGCATTTTATTGGTATCTTTACTGTGATTCCAGTTAAATAGAGGTGAAACAGATGGTTCTTTTTTTTATCATACTGCTTCTCTCCTTTCTGATTCAGCTTTTAAAAGCAGTCCATCTCCAAGGCCATGAAGGACCTATTTACGCCATACATGCTGTTTACCAGAGGAGGACATCAGATGGTGCATTACACATACTGATAGTTTCTGCAGCTTCAGATTCTACTGTTAGACTCTGGTCTAAAAAGGATTCAGAAGGTAGGCCTGGAGACATTATAATCCAGAGAAATGAAATTCTAATCATCAAATGAATGATAACTAGAAGAGTGTACATATTTTTTCAAACTTTCAAGCAACTTTAAAAATGCTATCGTTCTAATCTCAATTTTTGTTTCATTTGTACTTTTTTGAAATTCCTCTATACCAAATTGTTTGACAGTGTAATTCTAAGCCTTTTGATATAAATCATTTTGTTCTCTGTAACATTGTTAAGATTTGTCCATTTAACTTCACGTGGTTAGTGGGGGCTCAGGAGAGACTTTTCTCATTTCTCTGCTAATACCTTGGGTTGTGACAATGCTACCCAACCTCTCTAGACAGATAAGCTCAGAGGCAGTTGTTCATGGTGTTTTTTATTATTTCTTAGTAACATGCCTTCAGACCTTAAACTTTGGAAATGGATTCGCTCTGGCTCTCTGCTTATCTTTTTTGCCTAATACTGATGGTGAGTATCCTGCTAATTATATATTAAAAGAGCAATATATTTGCACGTCTCCATGTGCTCAGAACAAAAAGAAATACATTGGGTCTCATTTTGTATCTAAATGTTTCCATGAAACAAGTTGAGATGTGGATGACATACTTTTATTACAATATTCAAATAATCTGACTATAGAACAAAATTAAAGGAGGCTTATTAGGATTTGGTTAGCTATTGAAAGTTTAAGTGACTTAATATATACTCAGGATCGATACTGCTAATTATCAAATTTATTATAGATGTATATAGATCTAATTTGGGGCAAATATCCAATTCTTTAGAAGGTAAAGGTCGGGAGTAAGTTGAAAAACAACTGAAAATGGACCATGTGAGCATTTCTCTCAAGGTGACTGCCCCTTCACATCCTGCAAAATGACAATTTGCCTAAGACCACTTAAAATCTCCAGACAGAAAAATTTCCCTTTGACTGTGAAGCCCATCTGTACCTCTCTTTGATTATCTTCCACCAAGATGATAATCAATGCGAGTCAGTCAGTCCCTTTGCCTCCTCAGTACCTAGAAGACAGGCCAGGTAGAGAGAGGCAGGGCCTGGAAGCTGCCAGCCTCTCTTGCCTTCTGCTGTGGGTGCTGCGACTTCATGGTTTCCTGTTATGCTTCCATTTTGTGCAAGGGCTCCCTGGGAGGAGAAGCTGCACACGTTCTGGTTTCATCACATTGAATTTCATTTCTTCCTGTCTATGTTGAAGCCAAGTGACTAGAGTTTTTGTTTTTGTTTTTTTAGTTGATTTAAAGTGACGGAAATCTTTGAAAAAATAACGCTTTGTAGCAAGGTGTTTCCTTAGGAAAAGTCCCTATTTTATTTTGCTTCGGTGTTGATAGGGTTACCCTTTGGTAATGCTAGTTAGTTTTTTACTTACTAAAGAAAACTGATTTTACAGTCACACCTTTCATAGCTTTTTAACCACATATTTAATTATATGCTCTTTTATTTTGTTTTAATACTGAATTCTCAAACAAAATATAAAGTCCTCGAAGTAACAAACATAACGTTAAATCTTTGTGCTGGGCTCACAGTAGCTCACTCTTGCTCATTTGAGCTAACAACGTTTCATCTTGGTCTTCTGGCTGATATGGTGAAAATGTTCTCTACTGGCTCTTGAGCTTATTTTTCACTGCTCCTTCTATCATAAATGACATAGGATGGTGGGAACGACTCTCAGTTAATAGTTATTATTTGCCAAGTAACCATTGAATAGAACATTTTAGAGTATCCATTTTATTCCTGTAGACATTTATTGAGCACTTTCAATTATTTGTTCAGTGGTGTGGGAAATAGAAGTTAGGATTCTTTACCTAGAGCTTAGAATCCAGCATGGGTGATAATCATAACATGGAATGGAGTAGAGTACTCACAGTGAAGCCTGTCTTTTTCTCCCCAGTACCAATATTAGCATGTGGTGATGATGACTGCAGAATTCACTTATTTGCTCAACAAAATGATCAGGTAATTAATGATTTTTATTAAGAGACTAGAATTATGTTCTGCTTAGTTACATATCTTAATAGAATTTCCAGATTATAGAATTTTAGGAATGTTCTAATCTAAACCAAAATAATCCAATGGAGAATCTTTTTTTGACAGTCCTCTGTTAGATGGTTTTCTACTCTCTGTTGCAACGCCAAGTAACCACTGCCTTGGCCATCAGGCCCAGAATTTTTAGGGGAAACAGCTCGTTAGGTGGAGGAAGAGAGAAGAAAGATGTCATGGTAGTGCTTTTTTTCCTTAAGAATTTTAAATGAGATACAACATACCTACAATAAAGCACAGTAACATTTATTTGTCATACTGAGCTTAACTTACACTTTGAGTGGTTTAACTAAAGGAGAGAAGTTTCAGAAAGGAGGTAGGTTAACTCCAGACCCATTTATTTAATAATGAGAGTACTAGTTTCTTCACATTCCATAAGAAAGTTAAAAATGATGGTGAAAGTCCAGTTATCCAGCTTTTTTCTATATTATATCCACAGTATGTCATTTTATCTTATAAACATTTAAAGTATTTGAGGCTACAGATATTATCTACTCAGCGTTGCTCCATTAATGATTTAGATATTACATGATGAGATTTTTCATTGCCAAAGGAGTGTTATAAAAGAGGGATACAGTAGGACTAGCTGAAACCAAATGATGTCAGTGATGTACATGAAAATGTTAAATTCTTACATCAAGCCCGATGGTTTTTGTTGTCTTCCTAGTTTCAGAAAGTGCTTCTTCTCTGTGGACATGAGGATTGGATAAGAGGCGTGGAATGGGCAGCCTTTGGTCAGTATGAAATTTTGCTAAAGCACATATGATGGGGATAAGTATATGTAACTTCCAAGAAAGCAGCCTCTTACGTTTTAATTTTTTAAGTTTTCTTTGTATGTTACATTTTTCTATGGTCCCAATTAGAAAAGAGGATACCTATTCCTTCTGTTGACTATAAATTGGGTAGTAGAGGATGAAACAAATTGATATTTATAAGATGACACTAGCTGTCTTGTCCACATGCATTCTTGAAAAATTCTTCGTAGAACTTAGTAGACTATATATAAGAGTACCATGTGTTATAAACGTTTATTAGTATCGTATGTATATTTGTCAATGATGAGTGTAGGTCAAATGAATGAAGGGTAAGGAAATGTCTAATGTTTTCAGGAAATCTAGAAATGTACACGTGGTAGAAGAGAAAATCTTCTACCTAAGTTTAAGAATATAATGTTTTAAAAACAATATAATTTATTTTTTAATTAGGTGGAGATCTTTTCCTAGCAAGCTGTTCACAAGATTGCCTGATAAGAATATGGAAGCTGTATGTAAAATCGACATCTGTAGAAAGTCAGGATGATGATAATATAAGACTGAAAGAAAATACTTTTACCATAGAAAATGAAAGTGAGTAATAATGAAAATATTTGATGTAGCAATACTTAGGTCTCCTGGCTGGTTCATTTTTGTCTATTTCATACACAGCAATGTGAAGGTTAGTTTTTCAGAATGTCAGATTCTTACCTGAAACTGATCCTATGCATTTTTCCATTTTTATTTTTATGTGAGAATGAGTCATTTTTTACATATAAAATATTTTTCTTTTAAACCATATTAGTAAGACTTTTCTAAAGTGCTGAAAACAATGTTTAATGCTTTTCAATAAAGTAATTTGTAAAATGTTACCAAATTTACAGTTTTAGCATAGGAAGAACTAAAGGAATTGTGTGAATTATTTGTACTTTGGAGTATATGCTAGAATATATTCATAAAAGACAAGCTAGGTCCCCAAATTTGCATAGTATATATAATTCTGTTTTCTTCCTGTCTGGCATTAGAACAGTACCTCTGCATGGTGGATCCTGTAGGAATGTTGTATTTGAAGGAGATATTTTTGGATGTGTATCTAAATTATAAAGTTAGTTTTCAGCATTGTTCATGTAGGTATTCTATTCTTTGTTATTACTCTTTGTTTGTAAAGTCCATTAGAGTTGAGATTTTGGTAACATGGTTTTAGGGGGAGAACCAAGAAATGATATAACAAGCATATTATTAGTAGCTATACCCAAATATGAAATTTTTCATGGTATTTTCATTAATGTTAGAAAGGTCAAAATACTGATTTTATTTCCTTTATTTCTACATTTATCTTACGTTTTTTAAAATGGTATTTTATTTTAGGTGATTACATTCTGATAATGAGTGAAGATAACAAGGAGGGTGGCATGTCTGTTTTGCTTTTTCATTACAGTATAATAGTAGCTGTCCCAGAAATCAAAAACAGAACATATTCTTTAGTATTTATTTATGATCAGGTAGAGAAAAATATAGAGAAAAATTTATCTTTAGAACTTTTTCTCCTGTAATTTTGAACAATGGGTAAGGTTAATGAAATTTAGAATGTATGTTCTTTTATTGAATCTCAACTATCATGTTTTGTTCTAATTTTTTTTTACGTAATTACATAGCTGACTTGGTTATGAAATGTTCTTTTTAGAAGAGCTTTGAGGAAATAATACCTTCATTGCTTTCGTTACAGGTATTAAAATAGCATTTGCTATTACACTGGAGACTGTGCTAGCTGGTCATGAAAACTGGGTAAATGCCGTTCATTGGCAACCTTCATTTTATAAAGGTAGGAAGAAAAACATAACACATATCCCTTATTTCAGTTAAATCTTACAGAATTTTAAGCTGACCAGATAAAGTGTAGGATTTTTTTGAGCGTCATTAGAAATCTCAAGTATAAGACACTTTTTTCTTTGTCTTTTTTTTTTTTTGAGATGGGATTTTACTATGTTGCCCAGGCTGGATTTGAACTCCTGGGCTCAAGTAATCCTCCCACCTCAGCCTCCTGGGTAGCTGGGACTACAGGCATGCACCACCACGCCTGGCGCAGACATTTTCAAGTTGGCAAAGTTTAATGCTGCATTACTGGTCTTCTGGACACTCAATTCCATTAAAAATTGAAGTGCTAAGTGAGAAAAGTATGATTTCTGCCATAATGCTGACACCACCACACTTTCATTGACTTTTTCTCTTAAAGGTTTCCAACCTGGTTTGTTAGGGGATTTAAGAAAAATTGACTTATAAGCCAACTTCACTGGATTCTTTACCCCTGGTAATACAGAATTGATAATACTGAGATACATTATTTATGAAAAAGTGAGACTCTCTTTCTTCTTCTTTCTTTTGCCCTTTACCTCCATTTTTGGAGTTCTGTTTCTGTGCATGCTCAAGCTGGGTATAGAGCTGAGCAAGGCACAGCCACACATTCTTCCTTCCCACCCCATTTCCAAGGCAAGAATAGCAATAATTAATGCTCAGGTAACCACGCTTCTGTTCTTACATTATGCTGTATTTGCTACAGTTTTTTTTTTTTAAATAAGTTGGATATTAGGACTATCAAAGACTCCTGTGTATTCTTTCCTGAACCTTCCCCTCCATCCTTCCCTAGAGGCAATTACAATCCTAAAGTCAGTGCATATCATTTTCATCCATGTTTTTATACTTGTACTACACGTATGTATATATCTACTAACAATATTTTTTTATAGCTATTAAAACTTGATATCAGTATGTGTTTATCCTTTTACAACTTGCCTTTTTAGCTTAACATGTTTTGGGGATGTATCCATGGTGATTCATGTAGCTTCAGTTATTTGCCTTTATCGCACTGTAATATTCCATTGTCTGAATATACCACAACTTGTTTGGCTGTTCTGATGGTAGACATGTGGTGTTTGCAAATTTTTGCTGTTACAAACAATGCTGCAGTGAACATTCTTGCGGTACCCGTGTTGTTTTTTTCTGGTAATCCACAAACATAATCACCTAAAGGAATTAGTTTTTATTTTTTAGATGGTATTCTACAGCAGCCAATGAGGTTGTTGTCTGCTTCAATGGATAAAACCATGATTCTCTGGGCTCCAGATGAAGAGTCAGGAGTTTGGCTAGAACAGGTAAAAATGTAGATTTTTAAAAAGCAGAAAATTGGGTTTTATGAACTGCAAATTTATAAAGAGCTGCAAATTTTCACTCTTCATACACATTAAATGAGTGGGAATTCAGTAGTCTCTGGAATCAGTTCTTTCCATTGTGAAAAACGTAGACTATTGATTGAGAATTGTTTTCTTGTTGTTGTATAGGTTCGAGTAGGTGAAGTAGGTGGGAATACTCTGGGATTTTATGATTGCCAGTTCAATGAAGATGGCTCCATGATCATCGCTCATGCTTTCCATGGAGCATTGCACCTTTGGAAACAGAGTGCAGTTAACCCGGTGAGAAAAGCACTTTTAAGTAAAGCATTTCTAATCAAATAGTGTGAATCCTAAGTGAAATCTAGCTAAATAGTGTTTTACTTATTATACTCTATAGAAACTTAGTAGAGGCATTTAAGTTCAAGTGACATTCTTTCTTTCTGTGGACATAACTGTAGTTATACTGGGTAAGAAACTCATGCTTTTCTGAGAATAAAAATATTTGTACAGCATTGTTAAGGTATTGAAATTTGCACATAGGTAAATTTTCTACATAAGGGGACTCTATCCCTTTAAGCTATATAATTTTTTTGGATGGGAGTTTTCCTAAAATTTGTATTAATAACTTCTCTGTCTTCTCAAAGACGGTAACGTAATTGGATATTTTCTTGTTGGATTGCTAAGTCCTAATAATTACTGAACAAATGTCAGTCAACTATTATACCTTTAAAGTAAGAAATATTTTTTAGGATAAATTTTATTTCCTTAACTCAGTTAATCTTTGAGGGCCTTCATAGAAAAAAGCATCAGATGAGGGAGGAGGAACCCAAACCCAGAAGACAGAATTTCACTGTAGTTGTGGTTATAATTCGACTTCGAATTTATAATGGCTACTTACCAAGTATAGAAAGTGATTTGTTTTTTAGAAGAGAGCAGGGCTGGGTGCTGTGGCTCACACCTCATACTCCCAGCTACTTGGGAGGCTGAGGGAGGAGGATAGCTTGAGCCCAGGAGTTGGAGGTTGCAGTGAGCTGTGATGAGGCCACTGCACTCTAGCCCCAATGATAGAGCGAGACCCTGTCTCAAAAAATAAATAAATAAAAGCAGAAACAGAACAGTTTTAGGTTAACAGTAAAATTGAGCTGAAAGTAGAGAACTTCCACATACCCTGTGTACCTCCCCCCCAGACATAGCCTCCCCCACTGTCAACATCCTACATCAAAGTGGTACATTTATTACAATCAAGGGTGATTTTTTTAAAAACAAACACTGCACTTTAGGACTATTACAGTGGAAAACTACTGTTAGCCTGAAAATACTGTCCATTGTTCAGAGTTTTTTGTGAACTCCCATTAGTGCTAACTTTAGAGATCAGAGAGGAAATTAATGTCATGTCTTTGTCACAGCCTTTTTTTTGAGGGGGGCACATAGAAATAATAGAGTTTAATCACTGACTGTATTCATCAGACTTACCTTTAAATGACCTATTAGCTACTTAAACAAATTTAGTTTTCTTCCTAGTCAAGTTTTACTACCACTTGAGGTTGTTCAAAAAGATGCTCTATGGACTGGGCATTTTTTATATTTTGTTGTCGTTATTTGTTACATGGTTGCCGTTGCAGGCTCCTCAGTCATTAGACCCTCTAAGTTTGATTCATTTTTCTGTGCTGAACACCTATAACTCCTTTTAGTTAATAAAGACAGCCATCAGGCCCACATTCAGAATCTACTGACTCATTTTACACAATATTCTTTCATTATTATTTAATGCCAGCATTATCCTGTGTACTTTACAAATATAAACTCATTTAATCCTCATAATGGCCCTGTGAGGTAGGTGCTGTCATTATACCTGTTTTACAGAAGGGTTGATTGAAGCACAGAAAGGTTAAGTAGTGTCTTGCTGTTAGGAGGAGTCCAATAATTGATGAATGGGAGGAAATTTCCCAAGGTTGCTGGTTTAAAGGGTATGACATATTTGAATGCTTAAGTTTTAATATGGTTGATTGGAAAATGGGTCTTCTTATTTTATGATCCCATTCTGTGTACTTTTCACTTTGCTAGGGGGCTTCATTCTTTTCTGTTACCAGACATGAGTGCTTTAAGTGGTACTAGTCTTTGATTCTTTTAATATGTGTCATGCACACTTATTGCAGAGAGAGTGGACTCCAGAAATTGTCATTTCAGGACACTTTGATGGTGTCCAAGACCTAATGTGGGATCCAGAAGGAGAATTTATCATCAGTGTTGGTACCGATCAGACAACTCGACTTTTTGCTCCATGGAACAGAAAAGACCAATCACAGGTAAAATGTCTTCCTACTTTACTAATGCACTTTAAAAAACATCCATGAGCACATGGAAAGTGGGGCAACATTGTTAGCCATTAGGAAAATGCAAATTAAAACCACGATGAGATACTACTACATACCCTCTAGAGTGGCTAACATAAAAAATACAATAACAAGTGCTGGTAAGAATGCAGAACAACTGGAACTTTCGTACATTGCTATAGGGAATGCAAAATGATACAGCCAGTCTGGAACACAGTTTGGTGTTTTCTTAAAAACTTAAACATACACCTACTCTTCAAAATTTAAACAACAGTGCAAATGTTAGTTATCAAAATGTATTTACTTCAGTTTCACATAAAAGTTCTGCTATGCCTTGTAATTTTAGGTTCAGTTCATTAGGAGATATTATCAAGTGTAGAATATAAGCAAATTTCTGAAGTCATATAGTATTGTTTTTTGTTTTTAATCCTGTGACAGATTATAAAGTCATATAGTGTTAGATAATAGTTTTCATTGTTGGCCCTGAGCTCAAGCAATTGCAATAAAATTTCACCACTGGTAAGCTTTGAACTGCTGTATGGTAGGGAAAGCCAGTATCCTCAGTGTCAATTTCTGATAGAAATTCACAGAACTGACTATGGGTCAGTCCATGAGAACTAATGAAGTTTGCCGCTGACTTTACTGCTTCAATAACACATGATAGATTCAAGTGAATGCAGTTGAGAACATTGGGACAACATCTATAGTAAATTTAAAAACAAGTCAAATGATTTGGAGTGGTTTTTTGTGACTCTTGCAGATTTGTTACAAATACTGCTCAGTTATGGTTTATGTATGGATGAATCTGCCCCATGATTATATTTCCATGACATAGTAAATAATTTTGCATCTAATATTTTACTTGTTGAAAATTCGGTTTTTTGAATGTATCATCATTTTATTTATCCTATTTTAATGCCCAGGTGACTTGGCATGAAATTGCAAGGCCTCAGATACATGGATATGACCTGAAATGTTTGGCAATGATTAATCGTTTTCAGTTTGTGTCTGGAGCAGATGAAAAAGTTCTTCGAGTTTTTTCTGCACCTCGAAATTTTGTGGAAAATTTTTGTGCCATTACAGGGCAATCACTGAATCATGTGCTTTGTAATGTGAGTATTCCTCTAAATATTATTTAGGTCTAGTCCTTCATTTTGAACTTTAAAAACTTTCCGCCTCAGGCTATAACTAAGGGAATATATGTGTAGAAAGGAAGTCGTATTGTTTATTGGCTTGACAAACTTTTGTATGCACTATGGCATGCAGTGAGGTAAATACCAAAAGCAGAAATTTTGTGTAACAAATGAGCTCAAGACATTATAAAGCCCATTACAGCGTTCAGTTGAGACATGAATACCATGTACCATCACTGTGCCATGTACCCAGGATAAAACAAAATATAAAAGATAAGTCCTGTCTACAAGGAGATTACCATCTAGCTGTAAGAGTAGGGGTAGAGAGGGTAGGGGTGAGGAGCAGTGGAACTAACGTACTTGCGATTAATTGTTAGATGAGGCCAGTGAATTTCTAAATCTTGCAGTACTAAAGTCAATTTCATAAAAGGAAGAGGTCACTACATTGGTGTAATGAGAACATGTTTAATGGGACTTCATTTGGATTTTTTAAGAATAGGTTTTTAATTTTGTTTATATTTTTTTACTCCCTTCTATAAAAGATTTGAGCTATTTATAAAAATACATGGATTGTGAAAATTATAAAGTCATTTTGAAGGAAGGGAAATTAAGTTGGAAGTTGGTTATATTACACTGAAGTTCATATCATACAGTCCTTTTACTTAGACTTGGGTCACAAATTTAGTTCTGAGCTCAAAAAGAATATGTACACTTTTGATAGGCAGAAGGAGGGAGAAAGAGCAGAGGGATGGCCAGAGCTGTTGTGGTGCTTATTGGAATGAAGACTGTGTAGAGGATGATGGTGAAGGATCTTGGGAGGCAGACACAGTTCAGAATGTGGGGCACCATTGGAAGCTCCTACACAAAGTGATGAAAAGCATTTTGTAACAAAGAAGGTTATCTTGGAGCCCAAAGACTCTAAAGGCAATGAAACCAGCATTAGTCTGGGTAAGACTGGAGAAGAAAGTGAAAGTTATTTGAAATGAAATGCCTGACTAATCACTTAGCACCTCATGCCACAGATTTTCTTGATTATTTGAAAAGGATTTAAGATTCTGGTCTGTTTATTTCTAATAATAATGAACAGTGGGAGCAAGATCAAAAAAGGGAGGTCTTGAGTGGTTATTATAAAGAGCTAAGTGATTGGGGGTGGGAGGGGCAGTTAGTTTCAGGATCGCTTCAGTTCTAGGGATTGAAGTGGGATTTTAGGCTTCCATGAGAGGCTTAGTCGCAATTACACACTCAGTTCTGTGTCCTAAGAATCCTATAGACTGGAGAGCCTCTTGCTGTTTTTCGGGTTTTGCTCTTATCCTATGTGTTAGGATAGGTATGTAGGAAAGCTTGTTATTGTTCTTGTCCATGCCATTTTGTTCTTCTTGGTTTCTGAGATAAAACATACAATTTCTTATGTCCCAGGTAGCCACTCTTGATGGTGATTTTAAATTCTCATCATTCATGTTTGTGTCTAGTTCCAGCCCCTGTGTTAAAGTCTAAATTGTAAAAAACACTCTAGCATATGGGCATGTACCAATTTTGGTGGTTAGCATGTAGTTTCACATATGCTAACTGTGCTGTTAACTAGTACTGGTTTCATGTATCACCAGGTGGCCTTTCAACCCTCCATTCTTGTAAGAAATGGCAAAAAGATGTTTTAATAAAATTACTAGTACATGGAGTATGGGATCTGTTGCTGCTAATAATTTGATTGATGTAAATTGCCGAGTCTGAGCAGATTATTGCCTCTTCAAATGGCACTCTGACAAAGTTTTGAAATACTCAATTACTTAAGTATGTTTAATGAAAATACTATGACTGTGCCCTTCTGGGAAGCATCTGTGTTTATATGAATATCATCAGGAATGTGCCTGTGAGAGTCTCTTGAAAGTGGAGCTCTGGGCCTTCCATTTTCAGCCCACTGTATTCCCTGTCAGATGATGAAACCCTTTGAGCTGTTAGGGTCTGATGAGCTCATGGATGAGAGGACGTCTGGGTGAGGGTTGGAGGTTAGGTAGGGCCTCTCTGTTGGAGAGTGATTGCCTAGCATTGCATCTGTTGCTTCTGGAAGTGGAAGTGTGGGCAGACATCCACACGAGGTGATTTTTAAACTGTTTCTCAGCATTTATGAGCATGACTTTTTTTGTAGTGCCTGAAGTAACAGTAGCTTTTAGCATTTAAAACTTATATATCTTACATTTTATTCCAGCAAGACAGTGATCTTCCAGAAGGAGCTACTGTCCCTGCATTGGGACTATCAAATAAAGCTATCTTTCAGGGTAAGGCTTTTGTCCCTAAAATTATTGAACGCTTAGTGGTACTTAAAACTGAGTTTATGTACTTGTGTAATGTGTACCTAATAATGGTTACAGCTGATTTTTTAAAAATTACAATACATGCATCTATCTTCTCCATCACATATTTCATGATAAGCACTCTTTGTACACACTCAGGCCACTGAAATAGGTGCAGTTTTCATAAAAGGGTGTTTCATGGAACACTACAGCCACAGATGAGAATGTGAGTAACCTGAAGAGTCTGTTATGTAGTGTAAAAAGTTTGGGAACTGTTGGATCAAAAGAAAATGGAAGGAATCTCTGTGGAATTGATTAATGGAAAATACTGGAGTAGTGGAAATACCCTTGGCTTTGGAATCATGTGGACACACCTTCGAATTATACCACTTCAAAGTGTCACTGCTTTCTATCTGGTGGCCTTATGTTGGGTCAAGTGTAGGAGACATAAAGATAGTGACTACATTGATGATCTTGATGTGTTTCTTTAAACTAGGAGATATAGCTTCTCAGCCTTCTGATAAAGAGGAGCTGTTAACTAGTACTGGTTTCGAGTATCACCCAGTGGCCTTTCAACCCTCCGTACTTACTGGTAAGAAATGGCAAAAAGATGATTTAATAAAATTACTAGTACACAGAGTATGGGATCTGTTGCTGCTGATCTAAATAAATGCTGTAGAATTCATTTTTTTATTTGGAAGAAAAAAAATAATTGCAGTACTATAAATTTATTGTAGAACCTCCCACTGAGGATCATCTTCTGCAGAATACTTTGTGGCCTGAAGTTCAAAAACTGTAAGTTAAACTGTACTTAGCTCTTTGATCTGATTCTGTCATAACTTGTGATTTTTTTTCCCCACAACTCGATTTTCTCCTTTGCCTTCCTCATACCTACATTTTCCTCCTGCTCTATAGATCTTTTAGTGCCTCTCCATAAGAAGTGAGAATCAAACCTCACATTGATTTTTATATTACTATTTATTATGTTTATTAGGTTTGTTTATTGGTGTTAATTTTTAAAGTAGAGAGGCATAACCTATCTTTTTCCTTTATTAAAAAGGCTTAAGTTATTCTTAGTGGTCTTTTTTTACTTTGATGGTTTCTCATCAAAACCCATGTTTTATTGTTTATCGTACTGGCTGGTTGAGGGTATGAGGTGAAAACTTGTATGTTAATCTAATTGTTTGAATGAGTTGTACTACTTCTAGGAAGCTGGCATTTTTCTCTAGTCTCCCTGTTTTTCCTGCAAAATGTTTGCCTAGACAAAAATATAATGTTTCTTAAAAGAATTGTATGTTAACTAGAGAGATTGATGTTATTCTTTTCACTTTTTAAATGCTACAGCATGAGAATAGATACATTTACTAATACAGAGGTCGCATATTTTCTTTTTCAATTTTAGATATGGACATGGTTATGAAATATTTTGTGTTGCTTGTAACAATTCAAAGACACTGCTTGCCTCAGCTTGTAAGGTAGGGACTTTTACTATTTTTAAAATTTTTTATCTTTACCCCCAGAATATGCTGAAATTAAAAAAAATTTACTTTTAACAAATTTTTTTAATTAAAATTTTCTTTCTTTTTTTTTTAAGAAACTAGGTCTTGCTGTATTGCCCAGGCTAGCATGCAGTGGCACGATCATAGTTCATTGTAACCTTGAACTCCTGGGCTCAGGTGATCTTTCCACCTGGGCCTCCCAAAGTGCTGGGATTACAGGTGTGAGCCACTGCACCTGGTTGGAAATTCTACTCTTGATTTTACCTGGTCACCGGTTCTTTGGGTCATCAGGCTCCCGCAAGTTTGGTAATGATTTAGGCAGAAGTCTCTATGTGAAAGGTCACTGGTACCTGCTTTTTTTGAATTTTACTTTCTCAGTCTCTCTTTCCCTTCTGTCCCTTCAAAAGCTTGCAGTTGCATTTTGAATCTATTTCACCTGCACATTTTGAGCTTCTTTGTGCCCCTGCTCAAAAATGATTTAATCAGATATCTTAAAATGATACCTAAAAATGTGATAAATTTTAAATAATTGGAGTCCTAGAGATGCAGGGGAATGAGAAGATGAAGCCTAGAGTAAAGTCCATCAGACCTTTTTTTTGAGGACACTTTCGGTACTGACCTAATGCAAATGACTTCTGCACTTCCTTAGGAGAATGATCTTGAACTCAATTTGGTATTTATCTATATCTTGTGGACTATGCAGACAATTATGGAGGATTGTCTGAAGGGTCTGAAACTCACACATTCCTCTTAAATTTTCTAAAATTTATTTACTTGTTTTAAGTATAACTGATGGTGAGGGCTGCCCACCTGCATAGGCCCCTATGTCCCTGCTTTTACTGTGGAATCTTGCCAATGTGCATTGAGAAGCATTGGAAGAAATACTGCTGTGCTTCCACTACCACTCCTGACCGCCCCCACTCTCCATTCTGTGAAGATGTACTGAGAGCACTTCTTTCTGTTAGAGGGGCCTTGGGAAGAATGGCGCTCAGTAGCTTGAATGGCTGTGCTTCTACTGAGCAGCTGATTTGTTTTTAGCTTAGGACACTGTCAGTCATTTAATGGATTATTTTTCCCTTTTTAATTTGGCTCCTTTATAGCAAGTATATGCATCTTTCTTTTAAACTAACTTTTTAACAGCTTTATTTAGGTTCATTAACGTACTATAAACTGTAGGTTTAATGTGAACAATTTGATAAATGTTGACATACTTATACCATAAAATCATTGCTATAATCAAGATCATGAATATGTCTATCAACCCCCTCAAACTTCCTATGCTGCTTGGTAATTCCTCTTTCCTGCCCCCTTCCCTAGGGAGCCATTAATCTGCTTTTTGTTATGTCTAAAATTTTATATAAATGGAATCATCTAGTATATACTCCTTTTTTTGGCCTGGCTTCTTTCATTTGTCATGATTATTTGAGATTCATTCATGTTGTTGTATGCATCAGTAGTTCATTCCTTCTTAATGCTGAGTAGTTT